TTATTTCCCAATAAAAGATAATTTGTTTTTATCTTTGCTAAAACACTGTCCTGTGTTGAATGTTACATGATTTCTTCCTAGGTAAAACTGGTCTATGAACAAGTTGTTCTATAGGGTCTTTTTAATCAATCTTAGATGGAGCCTAATACTTATCGGCTATAAATGGAATATTGAAGTATTGTGATTTTCATTGGTGTTATTTACTGTTATATAAAGGCTAATAATAAATTATTTATTATATTTTAGTGCCACTGAAAATGTATACCTTTCCAGGAAATTAATTAAAAAATTAATTACCTTTGTTAAAACTGTAGTACCCTATGCTTTCACCGAAGCAGCCTGAAAAATGTTACCTACTTCCCTCTATCTCATTTAAGCAACAGATATGTTTTAGTCATTTGTTTAAATTCATATGTTAGGGCATCTGGGTGGTTCAGTTGGTTAAGCGACTGCCTTCGGCTCAGGTCATGATCCCGGAGACCTGGGATCAAGTCCCACATCAGGCTCCCGGCTCAGCGGGGAGCCTGCTTCTCCCTCTGACCTTCTCCCCTCTCATGCTGTTTCTCTCTCTCTCTCTCAAATAAATAAATAAAATCTTTAAAAAAATAAAAAAATAAATTCATATGTAAGTAGTGTGATCCATATATACTAGAACAGTGTAAGCTTTTCCAATAAATATATATTCTATTCAATTAACACATTTTTAACGAAGTCATAGAAGATGGACTGATGCAAATGAAGTGTTGAGAACACTGTTTTTCTTTACTATTTTCAATAATACACAAATAATATTTCAAACACTTTTAATTTATTCTAAAGTGATCATAGAGCACACAGCGCATTTTCAAAGGGTTTGCTTTAAAAAAAATCTCCTTACCACATAATTTGCTCTTATACTGAAGCTGATTTACAGTATTAAATGTTAAAAGTGCCATATTTTACATCCATAGACAGATTTTGATTATATGAGGCATTCTTTTAGTGTCTACAAGATTAAACACCTCATAAAATACAAAACATAAAGTACAAATATATGATATATACATACATTCAATTCTACTTCATCAAAAATATTGTCTTCAGGGGCGCCTGGGTGGCTCAGTCGTTAAGCATCTGCCTTTGGCTCAGGTCATGATCCCAGGGTCCTGGGATCGTACCCCACATCGGACTCCCTTCTCCACAGGAAGCCTGCTTCTCCCTCTCCCACTCCCCCTGCTTGTGTTCCCGCTCTTGCTGTGTCTCTCTCTGTCACATAAATAAATAAATAAATAAATAAATAAATAAATAAATAAATAAATAAAATATTTTAAAAAAATATTGTCTTCAATTAAAAATGGTTTGTAGAAGTTGTACATATTTTTATATAAAAATTTCCAATTTATTTTTATAAGATCTATTTTGTGGAATTTGATACTTATAATGAATTCTAGATAAATAAAAACAGTATTTTAATATATGAATGCATTAGTTTTTAGGTGAATTAAAAAAAATTAAGTACTCTCTGTACTCAAGGAGAGGCGTGAACTCATGACCCTGAGATCAAGAGTCACATGCTTCACTGACTGAGCCAGCCGGGTTCCCCTAGGTTAATTTTTTGAAATGTCAAAAAATCTTCAACCACTGCTTTAGAGGCACATATATTGTATAAATTATCATGTATTCCTGATTTAGTAAAGCCATATAAAATTACAAAAAAAGAAAGACAATATAGGGCTAATTTTTGAGGAACTTGTGGTCTAAAACAAATCAACAACATTGCAGGTACACCACTTCTCCCCCATACCCTCCTCATTTATGGGTGCAGGCAAGTGAAATCCCTCTCTCTACAGGGCAACTGGGGCTTGCTTTGATTGGGTGATTATTGGTGGAGATACAGATTGCTTGAATGCAATACACATTTTTGTTACTTTTTAACAGCAGTTGATGAGAAGTTTAGGATGGAGGGCTAAATTTGTTTTCTCATTTGAAACACTAGCAAAGTCAAAATAGTGGTTTAAAAAAAACAAGTATAATAAGTTGAAGAAAAGGATATTCTTCAAGAAACATAATTTAATACATTGCAAGGGGCAGCATGTAAAAAGGGTGAAAACCAATAATAGAAGCCAAGGGAGAAGGCTGGAGCCTGGACAGGTGAGGGGTCCTGTCTGCCCCATGAAAACCAGCAGCATTTGTTGTCTCCAAAGAGCAGGTAAGACTGCGGGAGGAAAAAGGAAGCCAGAAAAGGGAGATAATAAATGTTTTTCTTAAAATGCCTCAGGTCCTTTTTTTCATATCTGTGCAGAAAGCCCAATATTTTACATGGGGGAAAAAGTCTTCAGTACTTTTCTTTTTAAAAAGAAACAATCAAATTCTAGGAGAAAACTCAGTATGCCAAAATAGATTTTGAAGTGAGAGTAAATATCTTGGTTTTGACTCTATTCAGCTCTCCACTTACTCACTTGCCTAAAAAGTAAGCGCACTAATGTCTAAGCGTATACTCATTTAACCCCTCTGGAATTTCATGGTCTATGATGTGAGTTGAGTATACAACTTCATTTTTTCCCAAAAATTATCTAAATTTCCAAGGGCTATCTAAATGAATACTGCTTTGTGATATTTTCCTTAGTAGATATACTAAGGACAGAATATATATACAATTTTTAGGTTATCCATTTTTATAGAAGTGCCATACATTAAAAAATAAAAAAAATGTTTTGAAATAGTGTTTTACAATCTATTTTTCTATATTATCTACTAAAGAGACTTTTAGATTTTTTTTTTCCTAATCACCATCCCTAACCATGTTTGTGTTGTCCAGTAGAGTTGAGCTTAGGAGGGTCAAACTATTTTAATACATAATATTAATACTAATACAAACTATTTAATATCTAGGAAGTTTTCAGTCCCAAGAACCAATATTCATCCCCTTAGGGATGCTCATTGGTAATGCATGATTTAAATCGAATTAGTGTAAGACAATTTGAAGCCTTAAATGTGCAAATGAATGAGGCAGAAAATATAATACAAAATACTTTCCAAATGTATTTGAATACAAATTCTGGTTTTCTCAGATTTCAAGGAAATAATGTTACAATACAGAAAATTTTGGAAGCAGAGAACCTATAGACCTTGAAGACCTGTGAAATTCAGTTCTTTGATACTTTGTTCATATGTGTACTCAGGTCATGTGGTTTGGCATTAAATCACTGACCTAGAATTGTGCTTGATTTGTTTTCCTCTACCTTTTCCCTACCTGTAGGGAGAAGGTAATTGAAGTTTGAGAAAAATCTATAAATGATGAACATTGACTGAAAGAGATTAGCCAAGTATGTTTTTTTCAGTCATCTTATTTGAAAGATTTTCTTTCTCTGAGAGATTTGTTTTATTTTACTTGAAATGTAGTGAAACTTCTCTAAATAAATCTAGCTTTTCTAGCAAAGTATTTTTTTAGCAAAGTATTTTTAATAAAAACTCTCAAATGATCAAAATTCAGAGAAAGTGAAATATTATTCTAAATCTAAATATCAGTAATTAAATCAAATATTTAATATTTCTCCTTAACCAAAACTGGTTCTGAGTATTCTCAAACTATATTTTTTAAACTCAGTTGGGAAACCCTTTTAATAGAATGAGATATGATTACCATATTACTATCATGGCCTCTATTTTGCAAAATGTCATTTACAAATCATTGTGCGTATAAAGAAAAAATCTAATTCAATTTTTTAGTAAAATAAGTTACATCAATGAAATGGAAAACAACCCCAGATAATTGCAAAGATCAGAAATATATGTAATATCTATATGAAATGTTTTGATAAAGAGTGATAGTTGCTTTTCACTTTCTTTGATAATTTTTTTCTTATTTTTAAAATTTAAATTTACTCATGATGATCCGTTAGCATTAGATTGCTTGGAAGCAACTAAACAATGATTTTACATGATAAATATCTATTTCTAGCTCATAGAAAACAAAAACATATGTAGGCAATTCAAAACTCGTGCAGCAACTTCACAAAGTTGTAAGGGACTCGGGTACTTCCTTTTTACTGTCCTCTCTTCTACAGCATTTAATCTAATGTCCTGAGATTTTTGAGAGAGTTGCAGATTACATATACTCATTGCAGCCAGCAACAATAGGAACAGACTGGAAAAAGAAAAGTGTTCCCTCCTTCTAAGATTACTTCTTATATGTAGGGTACACAATTTCTCCTTCCCTCCCACAGGGGAGAGGGTATGTCTTTACTAAGGAATAAGGGGTATATGTGTAATAGAGAATTAGAAGTCACTACTAAATTCTACAATCTAATATTATCTATATTCATTATACAATAAAATTTCTATGGAACAATTTTACATTCAATTTTTTTTTTTTTTAAAGATTTTATTTATTTGACAGAGAGAAACACAGCGAGAGAGGGAACACAAGCAGGGGGAGTGGGAGAGGGAGAAGCTGGCTTCCCGCCGAGCAGGGAGCCCGACGCGGGGCTCGATCCCAGGACCCTGGGATCATGACCTGAGCTGAAGGCAGACGCTTAACGACTGAGCCACCCAGGTGCCTCTCTAAAATGAGAGTCTTAACAGTGTTTACCTCAAACAGTTGTTATAAGCATATAGAGTTAGCTTGAATTCAGTTCTTCATGGAAAGCACCTATCATGTGCCTGGCACACAGTAGAGGCTCAGTGAACATTTCTTACAGTTGTGTTAAGTCCCGTTTCTTTATTTGGTTGCAAGCTCCTTGAGGTCAGACATTCATTTTTCACTCTTCTCAGTCCCTGGCAAAGTTTTAAGCAGACAGTAGTAGATTCTGGTAATTCATCGGCTATGCCTAGTACAATCATACTGAATTTGGGTTATTTCTCAGCTTCAGCGTAAGGAGCATGGCAAAGAGTAAGACTCGGCCTGGACGAACACAGGGACTTGGTTTTGTTCAGTGGGAGCAGGTTTGCCAGGAGGTGTGACTGTGGCCTTGGCCCTCATGGAGGACCCGCGTGGTCACAGACGTACTGGGCTGCCCTTCTTATGGAGCCCCAGCCTCCAGAAAGCACCAAATCTCTTGATTTGGTTCCATTGATAATTTCTCCTCAAGTTTTCTAATAAGTTCTGCTAGGTCTTCTGAATTCTGAGTTTTTTCTTCAAGGAGTTCATAGCGGAGGCTTGAGATGTCCTGTTTAATTTCCTTCAGTTCCCCTTCATTCACTTCGTCACTCTCTTTATCTACCTGGGCTTGTAGTACGTATCTTTTAATGAGCCTCTTCATAATTTTCTGATATTGTCTGGGAGGGTTATTTAAACTGTTTAACTGGAAATCTTCTGAGCTCCTCAAACTTGACTGTTTACTATGCCCAAGCTGTTTTTTGTCAAGTGGTAATTTTGAAAGGTCTTCGTGACTTCCCAAAATTCCAAATTTCTTTTCTTCATTTCTCTTGTTCATCTCTGCATCCTCCTGGAAACTTTTCTTATGGCCCTGGAACATCTCAGAAATCCATTTTTTAAGTCTCAGTAGGAGATAAAACAGGGACTTTGGACTTGGCACCAGGTTGAAAGGAACAGGTAGAGTTCTTCCCTCCTCAAAGTAGGAAAACCAAAGTTTGGCCCTTGCAAATTTCCATTCCACATCAGCATCGTCCTCAATTTCCTATGTCTTAAGAATTAGGTATTATTTACCTGGTTATTTTACACTGATTTTTACTTCCTAATATATGTTAGTTTATTAATCATACATAGTTACCAGGGTTTTTGAGATTTACTTACAGCATTGTTCATATCATTGTGTTTTCAATGTATGCTTGGAAGGAAGAACACAATACATTCACTAGGGAACCACCACCAATACTTTGCAGAAACTCATATACTTATATTCCAGAAACTTTAACAGTCCAATAAAGCACAGTATATTGCATTCAGTTCAATTTTGTTTACCTCGCTAAAACTGACACATCCAACTTTATGTGCAATCAAAAAGATACTGAATATACAATCTTCCATCCTGTTTCACAGGAAACATAATGTTGACAAAACTGTTAAAGTTATATTAAATAAAGGAATTCTATAATACAAAGGATGGATTATCTTTTTTTCTAATAATATCTCTCTTTCTGTCTCTCTCTCAATATTATACTTCAGCAAACATACTACGAATAATGAATGATATCAGGTAAAAAGGAAATTCCAAATTTTAAAATATAATTTCTGTAGTTGAAGAACACATCATAAATTTAAATGTATTTTGGTATTCTTTTCCATTTCCTAACTCAACAAAAGAGATTCAATCTCTTTAAAAGTTTCAAACACGTATCATCAGCAAAAAAACTGTTTAGTATATCATTGAACTAGAACGTGGAGTGGGAGCAGGAGTTCTATGTTAATGTGCTTTACACAAAAACACAATGCACATCTGCTCATGATAAAATATTTAAAATGCTAGTATTAACTGAAATAATATATGTTAGAATGTATCATTGATTGGTCCTTTTAGGGTCAGGCATTTTAGGAAAAGAGATCATGTATGTTATTACACCTTTACATGAGTTGCAAAATATGAGTTTAAAAGTTAACTTAGTGTTTTAAGTGAAATTTATTAAGCACATTTAGCAACTTTGCTGAATAAAAATAAAATATATAAAGATCTACTTTATACATGATATTATTTAAAGTAGCCACAAAATATAATATGCTCAACTTTTTTACATAAAAAACTACAAATGACTATTAAAGAAACGCTACATAAATGGAACATACACCATTTTCACCCATAAAAGGTCAATATTAAAAAGATATCAATTATCTTCAAACTGCTTTAATGATTCAACTTCATCTCAAAGTTAATTCCAGCACAGTTTTGGCAAACTGAATTAATCATGCAAATGGAAAAACAAAGGGCCAAAAATATTCAAGAAAAACTGAAGCACAAATGAATCTGTAGACCTCAAAGTATCATATATCTAGTTTAATCATAAAACTACAGTAACTGAGATAGTATCATTTTGGCCCCTTAACATTTCATGTATATTTTTAAAATAAAGAATAGAGAATAATATTATGCATTATTATAAGTATCTATGTAGATATACATATAGACATATAGGTATAGATTGAGAGATATTCGTGTCTCTTCCTCTTCTTACAAGGACACTAGTCCAGCAGGAGTAGGGCCCCCAACTTTATGATCTCATTTAATTTGAATGACCTCCTTAAAGGCCTTATCTCTAAATTCAGTTACATTGGGGAATAAGGCTTCTAAATATGAGTTTGTTGTCGAGGAATACAATTCAGACCGTAGCAATCTTTAAAAAAAAAAAATCCTTCTCCTTCTGTAGGAGTATGGTACTAGAGACCTTACCTAGAACATACAACTTAAGAAATGGACTCTCACTTTTTCTATAGCAAATTACAATAAAGTGCCCCATTACATTCATATTCCTCCGGCTGGCAGAAACATATGCTCAGAGAATTTCAGAGCTGATAAGATAAAATTGAAAGGATTATTGACTCCAAACCCCTTATTTCACACATGAAGAAACAAAGCCTTGGAGAAGTTTAAAAACTTCTCAAGATCACACAGGAAGTTAATTCCAGAAACTTTCTCTCAGTGAAGTGCCTTTCTTGTATTCATTCATTCATTTATGTTTATAGCATATTATTAATAATTTATTCAAAACAACCTGCCAGTATATGATTAAATAATGAAGTTATTAGAAGAAGTCAAACCAGGGTGAAGTCTTAATAATATTAAAAAGAGTTTCTGTGTTTAAATGGCCTGTTATTGGAAAAACAAAACAAAACTATGCTATTGTGTGTAGCACATCAAAATTCATTTCCGGGGCTCACTGAGTTTATAAAGAGCTAAATTCCAAAATAATTTAAAGAAATTTGGTAAACATGCTATGTTTGTCCATTTGTTTTACTAGATTTAAAGTGGAGTAGAACAGGATGTGAGGGTGATCTGCCTACATCTGTCACCCTATTGATCGTCAGAGTTGATTCCGTTGCTCTGGTTGACTAGGCATGTGTCTCTGTCCTCCATCCCTGCTCCATGTCCTTCCTTCCTGAAGCTGTGTACTCCAAGAGGATGACCTTCCCTGCTCGAGGAGGACCATTCTTGGGTCAAGGGTTTAATTTAAAATAATTAAATAGATGATAGATAGATAGATAGATAGATAGATAGATAGATGATAGAAATTTCACTTCTGTTCAATCTGCATCCATGACATTAACATTTCAGGAACATTCAAATCGCACCTGGCAACACTGAAACTGAGCTTGTTTATCATGTGGTCACATTTTTGGCTTTAATAACATGTGGTTGTCATTTTAAGAAAGATGAAAAATACTTAGTGTAATATAAGTGAATCAATGTTGAAAAAAGCAAAGAATAAATAATATTTTTGTGGGGGCTTTATAAGGAATTATAATTTGAAAAGTTTTAGATAAGGTATTTTATCTAGAGATATATCATAGTATCTTGAAAAGGAATTGGCCACTTGACTATATTCAGTTACATGTCTAATTTTCTATTAAAGAGTTCCTTGTTCAACATTTTACTCAAAGAAAATTATTTTTGCTTTTTCAGAAAACAGCAACAACAATATTGTAATGTATAACTTTTATATTTCAGAGTTTTGAGCTAAAAAGTCCATTTTAATGTTGACTAACATTCAACAACACCTAACCCAAATCAAAAAAAAAAAAAGAAAGAAAAATAATGACCACATAATATGGAAGTACAAAATATTTAAATGAGGTTGAGACATTCTGACATTAAATCTGAAGATGATAAAAACTATATTTCCAGATTAATTATGAAAATTATCTGTGCTAATACATATAGAAATATTCAAATTTTCCTGTACATATGAAACATTAATAATATTAATTAACCTGTTACTTACCATGAGTTAAGAATTAGGTTAAATGTTTTAGATGCACTATCTCCCATCCAAGTACTAACCAGGCCCGACCCTATCTCTTAGGGTAGTACGATCAGGTAACTTTTCTTTCCAAACACAAAGATGAAGAAACTGATTTAAATGACTAAAGAACTTGGCAATTTTCACAAAGATAAAAATCAGTAGAAGTGTGTGATTGAAATCCTGGTTGTTTGACTCTAAGACCCCACACTTTAACTAATGTGCAATGTTACATCTTCATTCAATACATACAGGATAAATTTAAACATTTGTTTCTCTTTTTGTAATCTAATAACCATATCTAATTATATAAATCTTAATAACAGATTATTGACAAAATATTGACTAAAAAACAATGTACTGAAATTATTTGATCAATTTGGAAATACCATAAGTCAAAAGCAGATAGATGATAGATACATAGATAGATGCATCTAGATGCACTGATAGATAGTTGAGCTCTACTGTGAGATCATTGGACCAAATATTTAGGAAGGAAGGAAGGAATGAAGGAAGGAAGGAAGGAAGGGGGGGAGGAAGGAAGGGAGGAAAAGAGGGAGGGAGGGAGGGAGGGAGGGAGGAATGGAGGGGGGGAGGAAGGGAGGGAGGGAGGGAGGGAGGAATGAAGAAAGGAAGGAAGGGAGGAAGGGAGGGAGGGAGAAAGAAAGGAAGGAAGGAAGGAAGGAAGGAAGGAAAGGAGGAAGGAAGGAGATTGTCAACAGTTCCAAAATATCACCTGAGAGGAATTAGATTAATAAATTATAGATTAATAAATATTTTGATAGACCTCATTTACTATTCAAAACTCATTATTTCTCTTCTAGAAATGTTCTTATGGAGAACTGAGCCTCTTCCTGCCCTTCTTTCCCATGTTAAATATATATATTTGGTAATTTGGTAATTTTATATTGATGCAGTATCCTCTAGAATCTTTCAGTAAGTACATTCTAATGAGAGTCTGTAATTTTTTAACAAAACTAAATATGAAGAAAATGGAAGAACTCTAGATTGGGGAAAATAACTGTCAAAAAACTTTGTAAAGCGTATACAGGGAATTGGGAATACATGGTATCCCAAATTTTCAAAGGGACAAAGGAAGCCTTTGTCCCTTTAGAAAACTGGAGTATTTGAAGAGGTGTACTAATACTACTATTGCTAATAACAATAATGACAAGAGCTAACAATAAGCTAAAAATTGCTTGTGCTCAAATTTTCCATTTTGGTTTTCTAGGAATGGTTAAATTTGCTGTAAAATTTGCACAATGATAAGATCAGCATGATCTAAGGGTGCATTTATTGTAGTCCACTAATTTTTTTAAAAGATTTTATTTATTTATTTGACAGAGAGCGTGAGAGAGGGAACACAAGCAGGGGGAGTGGGAGAGAGAGAAGCAGGCTTCCCAGCGAGCAGGGAGCCCGATGCGGGGCTCGATCCCAGGACCATGGGATCATGACCTGAGCCGAGGGCAGACGCTTAATGACTGAGCCACCCAGGCGCCCCTAATTTTGTTTTTAAATTCTAGCTGTAATAGCACTAGATGCTAATAGTTTCCAGGAAAAATAGGTTACCGTCATTAGATAAAATTTTCTCACCTTACCTTTCCCTCCAGAAATTCTTCTTCTGTTTTTTATCAGAGGAATATGTGGCAAATAAAAACAGCATAATATTAAGTTTTGTGCAATAAATGACATACTAATCAAACAGAAATAACCTGAGTAG